CAATTGCAGTAGCAACAACCCAAGAACTGACAAAACCAACTGCGTACAAGCTTCATTCAAGAGACCAAGAACACACTCCAGCACTCTGTTAGTGCGGAAAAGTGAAGAATATCCAATGGTCATCCTTTACAAGAACGGCTACCCATTCAACCTCATCAAAAAATGTCAACCTAATTTATCAACAGAAACGAAACCAAGCACAGAAACCAGCAAACGGATCATCCCATCATGTATAAAAGGTATATCAGAAATTACAGAAAGATTATTGAAGCCGGTTGAAATATGTGCAGTTTATTTATTTATTTGAACACATAAACGTTTGTACAAAGGGGCACCAAATACATATGCGCTACACATTAACACTGAGTTCAGTAGCCGTTATCACTAATTTGTGTGAGAGCTGTGATACTGCCCAAGTGACCAGATCGAAGCAGGTGGTTCTCTTAGGGGGCCACACCCGGAGCCTTGACTTAGAGGTCCAATCCACAAGGCAATGGAATGCATTAGGAGATTCAGTCACTTGGTACCCGGTGACCAACAAGGGGTTCATACGCCATTTTTCCTCTCAGGATCCTGGAGCCCATGTGCATCGTGAGTTTGAAATAAAGGTTTTCCGACTCCCCTAGGTGAATCCTTTATACCCCCGACCTGGTTAAGGCGCCGGAAAAAGGAAGTGAGTAGGACTTCATGACAGTGGCTGTATACGCGTTACCATGAAAGAGCATTTCGAGAGGAAAAGCTAACTCTTTCCACCCTCGGTCGTCCCAGGGCATTCGGGATCAAGCACACATACCAGGAGAACCGCTTGAGTCAATTCTATGCAAAACAGTGGAAGAAATAACAAAAGAAGAAGAATAGAACATCGTCTACAAAACAAACTGTCCCAACTGAGAAAAACATTATATCGGAAAAACTGAACGCTCCCTTCATCTTTGCCTTCACAAGCATCCATTAGCGTTTGAACGTCATGATATATCTTCGTTTATACCAATGCATGTGGGCAACGGTAGACACATATTCGACTGGGAAATGTTGAGATCTTCGATAGAGGGAACACTAAAAGCACCAGGGAATTTTTAGAAGCATGGGACTCAGGTCAATTAGCAGTCAACAAACACACTGAAATCGATCCGATATATCAACCAATCAGAAAAAATAATGGACAAATATAGGAGCAAGAATCAGATCAAAGGGTGATACAATCAAAATATGGTCGACAAAGACAGCTTAAAAGTCAACAACAAACAATCAAGATAGATGTTGACAGGACGAGTTGAGTCATATAAGGAGAGACTCGAGCACTTCACTTCAACCTGAAGTTTGTGCTGCTGATGTTGTTCAGAAGAACATTAACGGCTTCATAACCAAACCATCCAGCTCGAAGAACAAAACACCGCCTAAGACAGTGACTTAATTATATTACGGAATTTTACTTATAAAATACATAAAATATCAGAAACAATTTTAGTTCGCAGTCAGTCAGTCATCTGCAACATAAGACCAGGCACATATATGCACCGGTCTAAGTTGCCATACCGCATTAGCACAACAAGATGAACACCGGATTCATAGAAGTAGTTAATTCAGTGGTGGTAATATGTAAAAGAAAGATTGCATATAAGGAGAGAGTACAGGAAGAAAGAATTAGTTCGTAGAAGGAACGATTTGAAGTGATTTCAATCTCTTAGTTTAAAGGAAGACAGAGAGTGTATACACCGACGCCATTGTGATCGATTCTGAGCCATGTCACCAAGAGTCTCCAACCATTGGTTACGATAGTCACGCGGACCCCAACCAGGTAGTCAGCATCTACCAACATGGCTCAGACCAGAATTTAGTGTCTTCAAGCACTGATGCCACGTTTTGGTTTGGCCGCCTCTAACTTTCTTCCAATCATCCCTAACACCGGTTAGCATTGCACGTCGTGGTAATCGGTGTTCAGGCAAACGCAACACGTGGCCCAACCATCTCAGTCGATGAAGATTCATAACCTCATCAACTGATTTACCATCATTTCCTAATACCCTGCGTCTAACCTCACTATTACTTACCCGGTGATCCCAGCAGATGCGAGCAATATTTCTAAGGCACCTGTGGTCAAATACTAGTAACTTACGAGTATCGTCTACTCTTAATGGCCATGTTTCGCAGCCGTATAGTAGAACGGAACGAACTGCCGCGCAGTATACTCGTCCCTTAATTGATAGACAGATATCTCGCCTTCGCCATAGATGACGTAAGTTGGCAAAGGCCAAACGAGCTTTTCGAATCCGTGCTGAGATTTGTAGTTCTATGACAGGTTAGAATAACCTATTTTAAAAGCATTACTGAGAAAACAAAATAGTAATACACTGCTCTCATCTTCCGTAATGATCTTACTTGCTTACTTCCTTACTTACACCTGTTAACTAACATGGAGGAATATGAACCAAAAACCATCACTTTCTATACAACTCTGTCAGGGGCAATCTTCTTCAGTTCTTTTCAGTTACTATTCATCCTATTCATATCTACTTCCGATTTTCGCAACTGTCTGTTCTTTGGTCTTCCTCTTTTCCATCTCCCTTCAACATTTCAAGTTGGAGCTTGCTTCGTGATGCAGTTTGATGATTTCCCCAATCTGTGTCTTATCCACTACCAGCGTCTCTTCCATTTTTCAATAGTTAGCATGCTAAATGACTACGCTTCGTAGTGGGATGCTCATTAATTTATTTAAGACTAATTCTTACATCTAGTAACGTAAATACTGATCACAATATATGGCTTCCAATATTTCAATGAGGAGGCCATTAACATAGAATCTCTGTCACGGTTATTAAGTCGTGCGGTTACTAAAGATCTACGACTTCCACAACTAAATTAGGAAGGGACAGTTACCTCGTGCAGTCTGGTTTCCCGAAATTCTCTAACTGCTGACAGTCCGCTAGGGTTGATCTCCACAAACAGGTCCACTTTTAATTTATGGTAACCAAAAGGGAGGGAACACATGTTTTGATAGATAATCGACAAGCTATTTACAATCTGGAGCTCAAAATCGGCAATACACATGTTAATATTAACTGTTGATAAATTCATTACCTTGAATAATTTATGAACTTTCACCCGATAAAATACCCCCAACATAATATAACCTTATGAAGTCTTACACATAGTCATTACTTCACTGTAACCACTTTCTGCAGAAAATTGTTAACAAACCTACTGAAAAAGTGATCTAGCTCAGAGGATATGAAATGATATATATATATATATATATATATATATATATATATATATATATATATATATATATATTGTAGTGAACTAGAACACAAATGGGGACAATCGAATGAATTTGAATAGAAAATTACAGAACAGCTTAGTAAAACATGAGAACCATACATTAAACATTTTGTTTGCAAAATGTCGATAAATATTTAAACTTTTAGCAGTCACATCAAACTATTAAGTAAGGTTATACAAATCTAAGAAAAACAAGGATGAAATTATCACATTCCAGTTATGTTGAAAAAAAGTAGCAGTCCTCGAACCCAAACAGTTATTTAACTAATTTTATAGTAATAAATTCCGCTATATATTTCTAGACATCGGACCGTTTCACTACAATATGATAAACTACGGTTAAATGATCCTCCAATTAGTTCCTAGATATTCTGTACATGTCACGGAATTTTTCTAATATGCTTACCAACAAACTAAACAGAGCAACAAACTACGAAGAGATTTCAAACGGATGTGATAAAACCACCAAGACCTGAAACTCCTCAGGTAGTAAAGATTTACAAACCGACTGGAAGTACAAATGTTCAATTCCTGTAATCAGCCCTGGACTAATATGTTGCTAACTCTTTAGCATCTGATTATGAGTCCTGAACTCCAACAATTATATAATAGTTTCGAGCTTAACTGTAATGCCTATAACCGCGTACTCCGAGAATAAATTCCACAGAAGCAGGCGCACTTGTCGCTTACATAACAATCTAGAGAATGACGTAACGTCAATGCCTCCGGAATTTATTCCATTTGGTGCTTCGTAATGCTTTGTGATTACGAAGCCAAGGACGAATACAAGCTGAATTTATTGAGACATGATGCACATGTACGTAGTAAGGTTATGTAGAAGAACCACTACACACTATCGAGTAACGGCTGCAAAAGCCTGTTCTGCAACAACCTTACTTTTCAGATTTCGGTACGATTTCCTACATTTTCAAGATATCCAGTTTACGCTGCCATATCCCGTGAGAATTAATAGTCGTAAAAAGGAACGGCATACTTATCGCAATACTGATATCGACTGACGACTTCGAATACAACATAATCACGCTATCCACGCCTAATACAACGGTATAACTACAAACCCACATAAGTATATAAACTCAAAACTAGTTGTCACGTGAACAAGTCACAGAAGAATGAAACATGTAACGTCTCATTGAAGTGCATTAGAACACACAAAGGCACTAACTGCATGATACTATCAATATATAAACAAGACCTTCATTTGCACCCTCAAGCCGTTAACTATTGCATCAAGAAGCAAAGAGTAATCAGGTTCTTTCTCATTATGGTCAACAGCAGGAACGTCGAGACGGAATATATAGGGTAAACTTTTAGGGTACAGCTAAGAGACTTCATTCCAGGGATTTGGACTGGCCACGCCACGGTGCTGACTAGACGACATTGTCACCATGATTTCTAACAGTGTGACCATATGTCCAGCTTTCCATGTAACAAACTTCGCTTAGTTCACAACTACATCAACTTCAGTCCAACTCATTGGGATACTTCCTTGTCCATCAGAGGATTACTGAGGATTGCCAGACCACCAATCATTGAAATTTGAATAGAGAATGTACCGAATACCAGGATATAGATGGTGTCTTTTATTACAAATCCAAGTCAGCGTGATGAATCACCAGAGACGGACAACTCGGAAAAATGTCGCGATGCACTACCGATACTGCGAGCATGATACGTGTTGCTTTTTGTAGTGCAAAGGATCGCCATCCAGTCGAAGTCTAAAATCACAAACATACCAGAATTAGTCGACTGATTATTCGAGACGGTGAACGAAAAGCACTTGAGATTATAAACCGCAGTAACACTTTCCTACTAAATCCGACGTTGAACAGTATCCAACAAACTAATAGAACGACGTCAGCTCACTCGGAACTACCTTGTAGAAGTGAATAACAGCATATTAAGGATCAAAAATTAAATAAAACATGAATCGGTAGACAAAAGAAAATTTCCTGACTAACATTTATTGCCAAGTTACATTAGAAAATCATTTTGTGTGGATAATCCCTTTTGCCTAATGAAAAAAGTGAACGCAAGTAAGCATGCAGAATCTTCGAATCAGGGTGGCTTTTAATGGATGCACGAATTTGATTGTCCACAACTTTTTGGTCTTCCTTTCGAGTGTCACTGACGGTGTATTTCTGAAAGAGAAGAAAATGTTTTAATAAGCCGTACGTCCAAAATGTTATTATCAACCCTAAAGTCCCTTCATATGATAGGCCATAATGTGGTTCAGCACAGAAAATTTATGAATAGCTCACCTTTGTCTCAGTACTGAACAGTTTTTCGGCTTCTGTTTTGTGTTCTTTAAGGTCTGCACGCCGGAAGTATTCATCATCGATGTGCTTGGGTATCTCCAACTCCGAAATATTAATCCGCGTTGATGTTGCGATAACGTAACACTGATTTACTCTCCGAAGTGGAACACCATTATATTTAAAAGGTCCTAGGAGATAATTACAAACATAAGTAAACCCACCTGTGACAAGCAGCAAACCACTCTTTAAAGCTTTAAGGAAGACAACACGCTTGCCTTTGTGTGGTCCGGCAAGTAGAATGAGAATAGTTCCTGGCTGTATGCTAGAACGAATCTTCCGAACGTGCTGAGAGAAGCACTTCGTTTTTCGCAGACGTAGCTTTCGCTTCCCCTGTTGTGTTACATAACTACGTGGCTTGAAAAAAACAGACGTCGAGATAAATTAACTTACAAATCGTGCTTTGGGTTTCTCCCGTACTTCAGGTTCCTCCGATGCTTTTACAGGTTTAGGAGTTCTTAATCCAGGCAACGGTTCTTTTCCCTCCTTCTTACGCTGTTTATTTACTTTGGCTATAAACTTCTGATGGTGATACTGACGCTTCGCCGACACCTGTTTTCGCCGAACCACACTTTTCACCTGCGTCATGTCAAGCACGAGCTACGAGTCCGAAGAGAGCGGGTCGGAACACGACAGTAGATTTAAACAATAGTAACAAACATTCTTATAATGCCGGAAATACTTATGAAGAACATACCTACTCTGTTTTCTGGCATTGTAACTTTTGATGTCACAAGCCTGAAGAAGCCTTGTCATTTAATGATCTAATTTTAAAATATAAGCTGTAGATGTGAACCGGTAAATTAATGTAGTTCTTTTGAGTTTAGTATGTAGTTGAAAGTTTATCTAGTTTGAAAATAATTGTGTGCAGTCAACCCATAGAACGCTGAGTTTGCTAGCGTTCTCTGTCCTCGTGTCACCGAGGTGCTGCTTGGTCTGTTTTCTCTGACGAATTCACTGAATTTGCTGTTACTGCCATCAATGGTTCACTTTCAATTGTATGTGGTGATGTCAATTCATGTGACTGAAATTTCTTTCATCACTAGGCTAACAAAATGTAGTAGATTGTCTCACTCGTTTGGATGCTCATTTAAACTTCGTCTTCATTAATGATGTGGGTACATATTTGACTTGTGAACGTGCTCCATCCTGATCTTGAAATCATAAAAAACACTGAAAAAGTAACTGACCACATATCATCTCAAGTGTTGAAATGACTACAGTTTATGCAGAATGTCAGTGAATATAACATACCTGATAGTGCGAACGTAAATGTTGCTAAAAAATACTCTACTGCAAGAATATGGATTGTCACAATCTTGGTGTGTAACACGAAGATTACGTAAAGCACAGACTAAAGCTTCTTGTCCCATTCCACTTCAGTTTGGTAGTATCACAGAAGCCAATCACCTCCCTAATATTCAGTCATTACCGAGGCTTATTCCAACATTTAAAAAGATTGGAACCATCCATGAAAGGACTACTATCCAGCGTCGAATCTTCAATGAATTACAAACCAATCAACCCAGCCTACGTAGTAGCGGCAGTTGTAACATTGACCATTGCACAAATCCTGAAACGTCATACTCTTACTCCCTCAAAAACGAAGGCATGTCGCTATTAGTTTTAAGAACAGGACTGGACATAATGCAGCTGTAACCATTCATCCAAAGCCCAAACACTCAGCTACCCCCAAATGACCATCCACTTATGCCTCAATGGTGCCTCAGCATTGTCCTAGCTGCTCCTATGTAAAGCCTAAAAACAATCCTCATAGGAATTGCTCCAATAGCTACAGTCGTTCAGACACAGCAATACAAAACAGTACTAAAGTCTCTGCAGAAACCCGCAAGTACTCCAGCACATTTAACCCACGAAGTGCACCTTTTCACAGCAGTAGAAAGCCCTACAACAAACGCAGTGGACTGGCAGTACCCACTCATCATAGCGTGAGGCTACATCTGACAAATCTACACCTACACGTGATACCAGTAAGCCGTACAGTGTGTACCTCGTAAGCTCCAGGATCCTGTAAACCACACATAACACGCACACCTCTCTTGGCAACAATATCAGGCAATCCCCCATTCCTTACCAGAAACATACAACCCCTCAGACTACCCATAATAGGACTAAAATTGCCCACCTCACACAAGGAAGTTGTAACGTTGGCCTACTTAGGAACCCACCTATTGATTCTAGATATTATCAAAGTGAAGCCACCCTATGCAACCCTTTAATCTCCCCTAATTCGACATGTACACCACCTCATCCTTTTCATCTCTCTCCCTCTCGACAGTGCTGTTATGGGGTCTCCTAATGTTGAGGGTGACAATCCCACTATTCTGGGACCATCTTCTATCTACACCGACCCGATAGGGAGTGACACATCTTTCTCGCCATCGACAACTCTCTATAGTCTTAAAAGCTTCCTGATGGAAACTCCTGATCAGTCCCCGAATACATCACTTATCCATTCAACTCATTCGATTCTACCTGTCACTCCTAAACATACTTTCTTCGCCAAGCTAACCTCCGACTACCTTTCTCACATTAACCATATTGATAATAAATTAAACGAACATGAAAATAGAACCAATGCACCTACTTTTTGCTCTTCTCATGGCAAAAGCAGACAATCCACTAGGTTTATATTACACTCTTCTACTAGACAAACACTCACCGTATCTGACACTTATGCTAATCAATGCTCGATCTGTACAAAACAAGATGACTCATCTACTCACCTTGTTACTTTTAAACAACCCTTCACTTGTTTTGATAACGGAAAATTGGATTTCTACCGATTGCACAGACTCATACCTTTAAATAGACACCCATGAGCTCTTCCGCTGTAATCGAGTCTTGTGTATGCATCAAAAATATGAGAGCGGAAATTTATAGTGATCATATTCTCAGCAAACTACCAGATTCGACAGGGCTTACTATGCACACCCATGAATGCAAAATACTAATCGGATGTATATATCGAGCTTCTAACACTCCTAGTTGAACTAACACCATTATAAGTGAGTCGTTTGTCAAGACTGACTCGCTTGATTTTGCCCACAAAATTATTTGCAGTGATTTCAACCCTCACACCATCAACTGAAAGACATTCTGGCCCATTGTGCTATGAAAACACACTTAGGTCCTTAGACATACACGGTTTGCAGCTACATGTACACCTGACTACATGAAATCACAACATTCTTGACTCGATATTCTGTCACACTAACATCGATGGTAGTTGGCGGATAGTTCCACAAAAATGATCATAAAATATTCCTCAGCACCCTTCCGCTGGAGTTTAGAGCTCAACACAGAGAAATGCGTCACGCCATGTGTTGGAGACACGTTTCTTGAAGTAAAACTAGCACTTAACAAGAACACATTGACCAAACAGATATCAGTAAGTGACCTAGGCGTATATTACTCACACAGTCTTAACTTCTCTGAACATATCTCAACCAAAGCATCCAAAATAAGGAAATCGCTTGGCTTTATTCTCCGTAATTTCTTTCAAGCTGAATCCAAAATCATTCCTTATAAGGTCTGTGTAAGACCTATCTTTGAGTACTGTTCGTTCTTATTTTCCAACCTACACCTACCCGATATACTTAAGAGAGAAGGGTCATACCGAGATTTCACTGGCGAAACAGTTAAGAAAGACTCACTCATTGACTACTGTTACCGATGCTATATCTTAGCGCTAGAACCCCTTTGGGAAAGAAGGCTTAGGTCCAATTTGATTCTTCACTTCAAACTCCTTAAAAACCCCACTTATCCCACATTCACGATCAAAGTTGAGAAATACTGATGAAAAATTAGAGAAAACTTCTTTCTCATCAAATGTGCATCAATATGGACCAGTTTTCCCCCTGAAATACTCATGGCTGATGAATTACATACGTTTGTAAAACTTGTCAATCAAACCTTCACTTGCACTGACCTAGCACAAGCGAACACATCTGCGTCCCACTCAGACATCATAGGCTCTCTACATGTATAGACCAAATTGCCTTATTTTCCTACTTTGCAGTTGTATCAGATACGTTTTCTCCCCTAATATTTTGCTTAATGTAGACAGGTAACTCACTGAACCTATCGATACTCACTACTACCCTAAAAAGTCAAAAGATATCCACAATCGCCGGTCTACTACCAGTGGTCTTGCATCTATGGAACCTGTTACCCATCAACCGGTTGGAATAGAACAAAACAACTTCATCAGGAAGTTAGTGTGAGTTCCTTTTTGTTTATTCTTTATTAGCGTCTTACTATCCTATACACTATGTTGACTTGCCACTAGTATTATTTCACCACTCATTACCTTATTTATAACTCATATATTTCTATACTTCTCCGCCTACTTTGGTAGACAACTATCCTAAAATGCACCCTTTCTATGGCCTATACTCTGATCGGCAACCTGTACTTTATACCAGTCAATTGAAGCATTGCATCGTCGCCATACCGACAGTCCATAATTTGTAACTGTCTAATAAGCTTGTAAAATGGTACTTATAGAAATAGTGTTTTCTAACAGGATTTGAAACATAGGGCATTGTCTAAGATATGACATGTCCAAAAAAAGCTTAAATGAGCCTAACATCACAAAAGTATGGAGGGTGGAGTTACTGACCAGCAAGCATTGATGGTGAGGGCGACGACTTCAATCCACCCATGTTTGTGGGGTAGAACATTTTACTTTATCAGGCTTTTTATGTTTGAGAACAAGTCAATCAGTCTGTGATATTGAGGTTGCTCTCCTACACTCACCATTCAGACTCATGTTTCTAATCTTATGCTGGATTAGCTATTCTACTAAGACAACCTATAACATGCTAACTCGGACTTAAACTAGGACTATATGGCAGGCATCGGATGAAAAAAATCAGACAATAAAGACATAGTTATTAGTTTTCATAACACTTTACTCTTTATATGCACTTTCCATTCCAACAAACAGCCTTCCTTATTCCAACCTTGACTTCCCTTCCTTCATTTGAACTAACTCCTCGTTGGTAAATATCACAGATTGCTGTTCTTTATTACCGAATTCTCTCGTTTGGAGCTTTTGATCACATTTCGCTCTAGCAACAAAAGCTATTATGAATTTATTCTAATAATTTATCATACTTCTGTTTGTTCAACTGAAAAATATGGAAAACTGAAGATCAGTACGATGAGTGGGACTCTTGAATGTACATTTTACTATAATTATCATTATCACTATCGTCGCTTCTTGGAATATGGATTTACAATCAGCAATATTGGACGTAGCAAAATATATTGGATGGTCTGATTCGTAACACTGAAAGGTCATTCACAATGCACTCTTAGAGTCTTGGTTTATCTCTTCCACTCACAACCTCCTTTAGTCATCACCTAGCTTTGAACCCGATTGGTCAGCACCAATTCCAATCTAGGTCCCATATGCGAGATCTTGGCCACAGCCTTTGTGAGATCCATAAACGTCATATCCAATGAAAAAATTAAATTTTTGAGTGCGACTTGAATTTCACTTGGGATTACCAGACTGGCCAACCATGTGTGACTGACTTTTAAGTTCGCGATTCTTTAACTGCGGATCAAATCTTACACAGTCCTGAAAAGTGGGACTCTAACTTTTGTATAAT